GAAACACGAATTTTGGAGGCAGACTACTTCCTATTCTTCTTGCTGAGCAAAAGGGCAGGGTGTTGCCTTCAGCAAATGAGCTTCTTTCTTCACCAGAGAAGTACCATCAGTGAAAAATGGGTCTTTGTCCCATTGAAAAACATATCTTTGTGGCAGTGGCTGCAACAAAAGGTTTGCTACATGTCCGTATAGCAGGCATTCAAACCAAGTCTCAGGTTTAAGTTCACTCCTTTAACCTTTATTAATAAAAGAGAGGCGTTACTTTATCAGCAGAACACCAGTAGTTGACCGTTCATAACACAGTTACTAAAGAAAGACTAGTCTAACCCTGAATATGACAAAGCTTTTAGGACTCACCTTCTATAGGGGCATGCTTCCCTTTCATAGGTTTCCATGGAGGCACTCAGCCTGTAGTTTTGGAGATTCACAAGATAACTGGCCTATCTACATTAAAGTATTCTTCCTGTAGCCTATGCTGCCCCTTTACCAGGCTCTGCTCAGCTCACAGCTCTGGGGCACTTTGGTTGAAGGCCTGGCAGACACTGTATGTGCACAACACAGAAATACCTCATGTATGCATCTAGGTTACAGACAAGAGAACACGTTAGATTGCCAAGTGTTCTCCATCTCCATACCTGCAGAGCCGCTGTCACTGCAGCCACAGCTGGCTTGTCTGCCATTTGCACAAGTGAAAGGGCCATGGCTTCCCAAATCCATTTTCTTGTTTCTGTGTTAAGCTAAAAGTTCTCACTGAGAACTCATGGCATGAAGCACTGCTCAGACCTGGTTGGAAAAGGGTTGCAGCTGCTCCCTTGGCCGCCTGCTGCCTTTGGCACTCACTCACACTTGCCCATAGGCACATGTAAATGGCAGCTGGCCCATGCTGGAGCTTTCTTGTGCACCAAGCCCCAACCACTGCCCTTTGCTGTCCTGCTTTGCAATAGCAAGGTTAACTTGGTGCAGCAAACTCAGCCAGCTTCCTTTTGCATCACTCTGAGGAAGGCGAACACTGGTCCTCAAAGATGGACATGAGAATTAATAAATAACACTGACAAGAGGTCAGGGGGATTTGTCACGTAGCAGCTAATAAGTAATGTCTTTGTTGAAAATACACATGAAAAGAACAGACAGGCGTACAGACTGCGCTCCATGGTTGTGTAAGATGGAGTGACACGGTCAGGGACATTAACCCTCCCCAGGCAGGGCGGCAGGGCAGCTGCCCTCTTACCCATGGCCATGGGAAGACATCAGCCCTCACTGCTACCCCTGGGATCACACACGTGTGCTGCATCCGGGCTCAGGAGAGCTGCAGACAACCTTGCTGAGCCGACCCTGTCCCCTGGCACCCGTCAGCAGTGCCATGCCATACTGCGCACAGCTGCATCTCCCCTTGTGACACATCTGAAAATTAGGTGTCCGTTGGGCAAGAGCAGGCTTTCATCCTCAAAGGCCTTCATAAATAAGCTTATGATGGAGAAAAAATAGTCCTTGCTAGGGTCTGCAGTTCATTGGCGAAGAAATTATGGGAAGATCTGGCACTGAAGCTGTGATGGTGTTTGAGAGCTCCTGCTTGTGACACACGTGGGAAAATAGCTGAAGGACCATGGACGTGGGGAAGCTTGACCCCTATAACACTGCCAAGGACACAGAGATCTTTGGTGGCTTGCTTAGCAAGCATTAGTCAGAAAAGCATCTGGTTCAGCTCAAACCTGTAGGTTGCATTTTCTCAAAAAAAAAAAAAAAAAAAAAAAAAAAAAAAAAAAAAA